TTTATACTCTTGATTTGAGCAGGATCTTGGTCTCACGTTCTGCAGTCACAAAGAAACAAATACATTAGTCATTTGGGAACTAGATTCCCCTGGACTCCAATCCAGCGATTGCCTTTCCTGTAAGCATTAGTTTCTTCATTTTGGCAGAGAAAAGACAAAAAATTAGTTGCTCCACTAACTGAAATCATATGGTGGTTATCTGTCTTGATGCTGCACCACTGGATCTTGTAGAGCTAGGAGTACATATGATACTCCCACTGTACACAAAAATCCTGAAACGTTTATTTAGTGTTTTTTGGCAAGCGAGCGAATGGGAGAGATAGTTACGTTATTAAATGTTCAAAGGAATGAACTTTCTGAATTATTGATTTTTAAAAATCAAGTTTTAAATGGAGATGGGTATATGGCAAGAAAGACAAAAGTTGACAGCAGTCTGGTAATTACCATGTGTAGAAGTAGATCCATAGCGATACAGATACAGCTCTATCCATCCAACCATATGCACATCCTTTCCCAGACCAAGCAGATCTGACTAACATGGGTGTGTGTACTGGGAAGTCTTCAGCTGCCTCACAGAAGGAAGAGGAAATAATGGGCCAAGTTAGGGAGAAGAACCTGAGAGTCTGTTCTATAAAGTCATATGACAAAATGGGTCTGTTTCCAGATCCCTTGGGAGGTGAATGGGCTGTGTCCTGAGCATGTCAACACAGCCCCTAAGTGCATGGCTGGTGTTTGTTGTGGATAAGCCACCTTCCTTAAGGCACTCAGGGGAGCAAGAATACCGTGGAGGAAGCCAAAGAGGAGATCCTGTATCCTCTTCCCCAGCCACTGCAAGCCTAACATTCCTCTTTGTTGCCTTCTAGGTGGAGGAGAGATGTATGGATGCGATTCCTGATTGTTCTGTCCACTTAGCCCTGCAGTGTAGCTGACGTTCAGTTTATCCTTGAGATATCTGTGTACTGGAGCTAGACATTGCGTTCATGAGGCATGCCCTTTGAAATTTAGGATTCTATTCATTTTAAGCCCCATTGACCAAAGATGTTTTCAGAGGTAGAGGGAGCTGGAAGGCTGATGGGAAAGCAATAATTCACCACCCTTTTTCTATGCTCTTGTATATAAGGAAGGGCAGGGGCTAGAGGTTCTCAACTAGGGATGTTTGGAAAGGTGTGTAGTGTTCAGGGTACATGCAGTGACTGGGGGGCACTATAGACTTTGAGTGGGTAGTGGCAAGGGTTGCTAAAGGTCCTTTAATGTGTGAGCCAGTCTTCTACAATGAAGAAACACCTCACCTAAAATGCCAGTAAAGGGTAACACTGAGAAGGAGAAACAGGGTTTGGGCCTCTATGAAGGCTCATACAGTCATGGAAGTCTGCCTGCTTAGCCTTCTGGGCAGTCTGAGCCCAGAGAGGCTAGATACAGCCTTCCAGTTTTGGTTCATAGCTAGCTAGCTAGCTAGCTTGCTTCCTTCCTTCCTTCCTTCCTTCCTTCCTTCCTTCCTTCCTTCCTTCCTTCCTTCCTTCCTTCCTTCCCTCTGGGCTGAGCAGTTGTGAATTTGGTTTGGGCATGCATAAAGATTGTGGTGAAGTGGAGCAGGTTTGTTTCTGTGAGCTCATTACCCAGTCATGATGTAGCCTTTGGCCTTCTGGGCGGTCTGACCCAGAGGCTGTGCAGCCTTCCGTTTTGGTTCTACTTAACTTCTGGCTAGCTGGCTAAGCCAGCTATTCCTTCTTCATTATTCAATATATTATTCATTCTTCCTTCCTTCATTCCTTCTTCTATTCTTTGCCATTCTTCCCTCCCTCCCTCCTCCCTCCCTCCATACCTTCCTACCTTCTCCCTCTCTTCCCTCCCTCCTTTCTCCCTCCTTCCTTCCGTTTCCTTCCTTCCTTCCTTCCTTCCTTCCTTCCTTCCTTCCTTCCTTCTTTCCTTCCTTCCCTCCCTCCCTCCCTCCCTCCCTCCCTCCCCCCTTCTATCCCCCCCTTCCCTCCCTCCTTCCCTCCCTCCTTTTCTCCCTCCTTCCCTCCCTCCTTCCTTCCGTCCCTCCTTCCTTCCTTCATCTAACTTTCTTCCTTCCCTCCTTCCCTCCTCCCTCCTGCCCTCCTTCCTTCCTTCCCTCCTTCTCTTTTCTTCTCCCCTTCCTTTTCCTTCCTTCTCTCCTTCTCCTTCCTTCCCTCCTTTTGCCTCTTTCCTTCCCTCTTTCTCTTTCCTTCTGTCCTCCTTTCTTCCACGTACCCACCACTTCAGTGGCCAACTATCCTCCCCCATGTTTCCCTCAGCAATATTGTCACATCGTCTGATCTACTGTACTCAAGTTCCTCTCTGAACTAAGTCATTTAGTAGCAATGACAACTTCTTAGGCCAGTGGGAATAGAGAAGGTAGATGCGTTTGGTGGGAAAGGAGAGAGAGAAGAGAGGGAGAAGAGTTAAAAAGATGTTTTATAATTTATCAAGGTATGAGAATAGGCCTCTGAGTTTTTAATCCAAGAAAAGGCATTTGATTAATACTAATGGACTCCCTCCCACATCAGTCAGTGGTTCTCAAATGTGAGTGTGCATCAGAATCCCATGGAGGGTGTGTTCCTAGAGACTGCTGGGAACTATCTCCAGAGTTTCTGATTGAGAAAGTCTGGGGTGGGGCCTGGGAATTTGCTTTACTAACAAGTTCTCAGGTGCTGCTGGTGCAGGGACCACACTTTTCTAGGTCTGGGTCCTAGAAACAAGAGAGACACTAGGCCAATTCCCATCTCCAGAGCACTGGCAGGAACAGGCTGAGATGGGGAGAAACTTTGCCATATTCTAGACTTTTAATTATGGCCCATGAAGGAGAAGGGAAGATTTAAGGGCCAGCACTTCCCAGAAGATGAGGATAATACCAGCTTCACCATCACACCTGTTGCTGGGATCCATGCAGAGGCCAGTGTGCTGTGTTTTCTGAAATAGGAAGGAAACAAACCACAGTGAGCTTTGCTTTTTTGTGTCCTTCTGTACCAAAGTAAGTGCATTGAACTGATGGCCTTTGCTTGATGTCTGGTAGCTTGGACGTTTTGGTAAACCAGGATATCAAAGATAATGGGCAATACTTTCTTTTGTTACTAAAGAAGGGGAAGTTGTAAAAATGTGCAACCTGTTGAAGGTCTTTCTAAAGGAAGGCATCTGGTTTAATGCCCAAACCGTTACATGTGTGCTTTTTTTTTTTTTTTCAGGGAAACAAAGAAAGTCAGGAGTAGGGACAGTGTTTACTATTGCCTTTCCTGAATTCTTTGTTCAATGATACCAGAAGCACTGGTTGTTTTTGTTTTCCCCTTCCTAATGTGTTAACAATGGTGATGCTTTATTCCAGCCCCAGAAAGGGAAAAACAAATATATTGGCAGGGATGTTGCTGGAAGTGTGAACAGGAATGTGAAGGAAATGAACACTTTGAGAGCTGCTATTTTTACTATCAGTACCTGATTTTTCAAAATAATTCTATGAACAGTTTTTCATCAAATTTGACCTGATGCCAGATTAACATCAAGCTTTTTTTCATCCCTAATGTTCCCCTGGAATCATAAAATGTTATTAGTTTGAGTACTTAGCAGCAGTTTAGAGGTGGCATATTATGTTGGTTTTCATTTTTTATCCAATATAGAAGGCCCTGCGGCACTAAATAAAAATGTCACCGTGTAGAATGTAAAGGCTTTCTGTCACAAATGTTTTTAAAAATTCATGAAGGGCTGAGGATTTGATTTATCTTATCCTCTTTCTGTGATTTATTCATATTTAATGTTAGGTTCAACTTTTGAAGCATGAAGAACTTTTCAAATTAAAAACTGTGGTGAATCAGTTTTATTTGAAGAAAAATTCTACCATGCCAGTTTTTGAATTATGCAGCTCATTCCTCTTCATGTGTTCAAGAGCCAGAGATGTTTGGTTTTCCCAGTGGCTGGAATTCTTACTGGCCAAACCCTTCATTGTTGCGGGGGAGGTTGATTTTCCCAGCTACGTGGTCGTGGCAGCTGTTGCCCTGGTATCAATAGACATTTTCCCTCAGGCATTAATCATGATCACACACGTGTGGTAGCAAAGGGGAAGAGTGGGAACAGACCTCGCCTTGGGAACCACTGGGTCTGTATATTTCTTTCTGTTTTTGAGCTGCTGAGTTGCCTGCGTTTTCAGGAACATCTTTAGGCGGAGATAAGATCCAGTCTTCTCTATGGACGGTTCATAAATAATGTTAATAGAATTAGCTGCAAATGAAGGAAAGGAAATGAACTGAAAACAAACTCATAATCTTTCTTTTTTAAAACTAGTCAGTGGAAGCATAGGGTCTGAGGCACTGGATTTTTTCCAAGCCCTTGGAGGCTTAAAAGACTATAGGGAAAAGAGCTGCTTGGTGGACTCGTTTTTGCCTTTGTGGCAGGCAGGTAGATCTGTCTAGAGGACATGAGAGTATCTCCCCTTTCTCTGGGAGGCAGGTGGAATTCTCGATGGCTAGACAGGGATACAATAGGTTACACTGTCCTGGACATCCTGACTTCTGCCTGCCCACCCACCTGCCCGCCCATCCTGCCCTCCTGGGCCTCCATTCCTGTATCCCTTCCTTTTGATTTCTTCTCTCTTACTTCCACTTTTCCAGCCTGCTGTGACTTTTCAGCATCTCCGTTGGGCCAGCTATTGTACCTCCATAGACTGAGTCAGCTTCTCATAAAATGAGGGGAACTATGCCTGTTTTCTTTGCTAAAAATAGTCAACCTTTATAAGAGTATCAAGGAAGGAAGAGAATAAAAGCTACTAAGTGCCTACAAGGATAAAACCCTTTTTACCTATTTTTCTCCCTTGTTTGTCATTGGGGATGAAACCTATTAAAGGGTGGCAGCCAGTACACAGAGCAGGGCATAAACCAAAGAATGTGGCTTTTTAAACCAATTTCGAGCATTTTGTCATTATGATCTGGATCTTATTCCTTTGCTTAATGGAGACAATCATCTTGATAAGTAAAATCATCTGTTTTTCCCCTCAGACTATTGGGAAGAAGTTACCTGCAACTACAGCAACTCCAGACTCGTCAAAAACAGAAATGGACAGCAGGACAAAGAGTGAGTTTCCTTAGTTATCTATTTCACATTTAAAAGCATTTAAGGATTTCACAATAACAGAAATGTTTTTTAGAAATCCCTATATAACCTTGATAGCTTTTGCAAATACATCAGAAAAATGTACACAATTGTATTTCCTTCAATTCCCCACCATTAGGGTGGGCACAAGTTAGATTCAGAACTCTTGTTTTTTTTTTTTTTTTTCTTTTCCCTTATTACAGAATGTGGTTCTCTCCTGCTATATGTATCTCACTCGTGTGCAGAGCTCGGGTTTATCCATGTATACCGAAAGCATTTTGCACCGTTAAGGTGGCTGAAAGGTTTTAGAGAGTGGCAAATTTAGGGATTCACGAGCCTTCAGGTCAGAGAGGCCTAACCACTTGACCAATATTACTTACCTTTGACTTCCCACTGGCATCTTCAACACATCTCTGCTTGAATATCTCTAGATACCACTGCATGTCTGCAGGCAGGAGGCTCAAGTCTTTTTGGAAGGATTGGGCTAATGAATGGGAGGGGTTAACTGTGTTTTAGAACAGTGCTAGCCAATAGAAATATCATGTGTGAGCCACATATGTAATTCTAAATTTTCTAGTAGCCATGTTAAAAAAAAAAAAAAGGAAAAACAATTGGACTTAATTTTAATGTATTTTTATTTAACTCAATATATCCAAATATTATGTCTACATGTTATCTACATAAAATTATTAAATGAGATACTTTCATTGCTCTCTTCATGTGAAGTCTTCACAATCCCATATGTATTTCATAGGCATAGTATACCTCAGTTTGGAGTAGCTACATTTCGAGTACTCAATAGTCATGTGTGCCTAGTGGCAACCATATTGGAAAGTGTAGTTTTATTTTTGTAATATTTTCTTTTTTAAACAATTTTGTGGGTACATAGTAAGTGCATATATTTATGGGATACATGTTTTGATACAGGCATGCAATGTGAAATAAGCACATCATGGAGAATGGGGTATCCATCCCTCAAGCATGTATCCATTGAGTTACAAACCAATTACACTCTTTATTTTAAAATGTACAATTAAGTTATTATTGACCATAGTCACTCTCTTGTGCTATCAAATAGTAGGTCTTATTCATTCTTACTATTTTTAATACCCATTAACCATTCCCCCTACCCCCCAGCCCCCAACTACCCTTCCCAGCCTCTGGTAACTATCTGCCTACTCTCTATGGACAGTGTAGTTTTAGAGTAATTCTGGGGTCCGAGAGGGGCTTCCCAGGCTTGAAAATGAACACAGTTCCAAATGTTCAGCTTTCCTAAGCATGTGGAAGAAACCTGGCTCCAGCCCAAGCCTTGTTCAGTCCTGAAAGCGTCTATTAACTACATCCACATACCTGGCCCTCTAGCAGCATCATGGTGGGGAATGGGTTACTCATAAGAGTGGGTTTACAGGAAGCCCGTATTCTAGGACCAGCTCTGTTATTAGCTAGCCACGTGAACTTGGGCAAACAATTTTATTCCTTTGGACTTCCTCTTCATCATCTGCATTGTCTATGAAGTCAGAGGGTTATACTAGAGATAAACCCCAGGGTTTATCCCAGCATCTTCATCCTCTCATTCAGTTCTAAAAGCTTTACAACTCAGAGGGGAAGGTTTCTGCATTCAGAAAATTAAGCAGCTGATGGAAAACAAGGAAAATGTGAACAATTCAGTAGGAATATGAGAAAGATGTCTTTGGGTATAGATGTTAATATGCCTGTAAATGGTAACAGGTCAGGAAAGGGAATTATTACTGTCAGCAAAGGCTTGAGGGATGTTTATTGACAGACATTTTTCATAGACACCAGGATAAGAATTTCTGCAGTTGGGCTGGGCGCAGTGGTTCACAACTGTAGTCCCAGCGCTTTAGGAGGCTGAGTGAGGCAAGTGGATCACTTGAGCCCAGGAGTTTGAGACCAGCCTGGGCAACATAGCAAAACCCCTAGCTGGGCACAGTGGTGTGTACCTGTAGTTCCAGCTTCTCGGAAGGCTGAGATGGGAGGATTACTCAAGCCTGGGAGGTTGAAGCTGCAATGATTGAGCCAAGGTCACACCACTGCACTCCAGCAGGGCGGCAGAGTGAGACCCTGTCTCAAAAAAAAAAAAAAAAAAAAAAAAAAAAAATTCTGCAGTTTCACCCCACACACACTGTCTCTGGTTGTCAAGAGCACATTCTGGGGTAATTGTTCTTCCATGATTTCCATTTAGTGCCACCCCAGGCCCCTAAGAAGCCCCCTAAAAAGCCTCTTTCATTTGGACCGTTTCCCTGCTTCAGGATTTTGATATGACACCTATGTTTAGGTAACAGGCCACAGAGTAACTGAGGAACTACATATTAGAAATGACCCTGAGCTTGGGATCTGAGCAACCTCCTTCCCTCTTCCTTCCGACCAGAAGACAAACCTATGACAAAAATTGCCCAGCAGTGCAGAAGAGGGCAGTTCCTTCCTACACAGACGTCTGTCTCCTTAGCATGCTAAAATACTAGCTCACATCAGGGTTAAGAGTTGGGATGATTTTAAAAATGTTCATATGAGTTGGTATTTTCTGAGTGAAAGTGAAACTCAGCTGATCAGGATTTATTTAAACAATTAACATTACCATCCCCACCCTCTCAAAAAAAAATAGCTTTTATGATATTGAAATTCATCAGAAACTCATGCTGGGGAACAGATTGGCATAATTTTCATAACAAGAGGAAAACTGTCTAAATATTCATAATGAAGTGCCCTGAGGTTCCTCCAGCTCACCACATCTGGAGTTTCCCTCTTTCTTATTATAATTGATGCAGATTTGTGGCCTCTGTGGGATAGAAAAATAGCCCAAAGAAAGGGCTATTGAATATTTTTCTGAACAAATAGTTTAGTCTTACAGATTCAGAAGACCAGTTGAACAGGTGGGTTGGGGGGAAAAATCCTTGACAGAATTTGTACCAGGGCAGATCAGGTTTCTGCATAAGTTATGACTGCAGGACAAAGGCTGTTTTCCCTGCTGAACCTCATCTCACTTCCTAACTGGACACTCATACCACCTTTGCAATCCCTTTGTTCATTGACTTGCTTCTTAGAGCTGTCATCTGTGATGGCAACAAATGGAACCTTGTTGCTATCATTAGATCATTGGTCCCTCTAGGTTGAGGCTGTGTCTTCTACTTGATATCCCCACCATGCAGCCTAGAAAAGTGCCATGGATTCAGTGGGCACATAAAAAATGGTGGTTGAGCAAATGGAGAAGTATAAATGATTTATGATTTATCAGGCTCTAGATTGCACAGTCTTTTAAAAGCTATTAGCACCATTCATGGTGGCTCATGCCTGTAATCCTAGCACTTCGTGGGGGCCAAGGCAGGAGGATCTCTTGAGCCCAGCAGCTTGAGGCCAGCCTGGGCAACACAGTGAGACCCTGTCTCTACAAAAAATAGAAAAAATTAGTTGCGCATGGTGGCACATGCCTGTGGTCCCAGCTCCTTGGGAGGCTGAGGCAGGAGGATCACTTGAGCCCAGGAGGTCAAGGCTGTGGTGAGCCACGATCGTGCCACTGCACTCAGTCTGGGTGACAGAGTGAGACCTTATCTCAAAAATATATATAAAAATAAAAAAGCTATTAGCCATTGGTCCCCTTCGCCAAGTGTACATATACATGTATATGTAAGCCCCTCACAATGAGACCTTAAACACAATGGTAAGAAGCATCTTTTGAAAGTGTGTTCCAAACACCTGCTTTAAGAGCCCTCTGCATGGAAAACAGTTCCATTCACTGTAAGAAAACAGCACATAATGTATCTCTTAAAAAGTATGCTTAGATTTAGCTCTAAAACATCTATATGTAAACCTCTCATGCACGATGAGATGCAATGCTAGAAACATCTCTCAAAAATATGTTTGAAACACTTGCTTACGAAATTTTCTGCTTGGAAAACAGTTCCATTCGCTGTATGAAAACAGCACATAATGCATCTCTACAGAAGCAGGTAGATTTAGCTTTTAAAGGTGTATATGGAAACCACATAAAATGAAACTTGAAATACAATGGTAAGGAACATCTTTCAAAAGCATGTTCAGAACATCAGCTTACAGAACTCTCTGCTAGGGGGAAAAAAAGAGACACATTTGTTCCTGTAAGACACTTGAGCATGTTCTGGGGTCTGAGTGGTTAGCAGTGGTTGCTGGTGTTCCTTGGCTTGCCAGTGTTCCTTGGGGTTTGCCAGACCCTCTCTTCTTACCAGCCATTGCTCTCCCAATCAGCCTAAGACTGTTACCAGTGGAGGGTGTCCAGGTTATTGGCGTCTTGAACAAAGAATTGGACAAAACGCACAAACAAAGCAAGGAAAGAGTAAAGCAACAAAAGCAGAGATTATTGAAAACGAAAGTACACTCCACAGGGTCAGAGCAAGCACCAGCATAGGGGCTCAAGAGCCCCGTTACGGAATTTTCTGGGGTTTAAATACCCTCTAGAGGTTTCCCATTGGTTATGTGATACACACCCTATGTAAATGAAATGGTGGCCCACAGTCAGTCTGATTGGTTGTGGAAAGCAGCCAATCAGAGGCTGAAGAGAAGTTACAAAGTTACGTTCCCATGCAAACATCTGATTGGTTGCACAAACCAACTAATCAGAGATACTTTCAATTTTCCATCTGCCATGCAGAAAAAGAGGGGGATTTGCAAAGGGAGTAGCCCCTGGTCCTTTTGTTACTTAGGTGTGGAAAGTTGGGATTTTCCTTTTGATTTAGTTCTAGGAAGTCAGAGTGAATCGGCCTTAGGTTCCCTGCCTCTAGACCCTATTCTGCCTCAAGACCACCGGGTTTATTGGCTCATTGTGACCAGGGAGACTGCACACCAGGGGACCTGTGGATGTTACATCAAGCAAAAGCAAAATTAAAAAAAAAGAAAAAAAGTTGTTACAGATTTTGAGAAGGGGCGGAATTTAGTGAAATGTAAATGAAATGATGTTTTGATAGACTCAAGGCAGAGCAGGGCTGCATGGC